AGAGATTACACTAATATCTCTTAACTACTTTCACCCTTTCTGGGGGAATCAACAGAATGGAGACAGTCAGTAGATATCTCCGAAATGGATTTCCATATTCATTACCTTATGACCTCAGAACTCTAGAGAGTTATAATGGGATAAACAGGCCCCTTCAATTTTGACTGACTGGCTCACACTGCCAAAAGTCACTTCCCCTGGGCACTTCTTTATGGAATTAATGTGAAGTGATAGTGGCATCTGTTCCTGCACCCAGATCTAATGACAGCACATCAGTTGGCATCTTGACTGTCTGAAGGAGAGATCACAGATAATGTAACAGTGAGATACATAGAATGCTGACTTTGGTGCTGGGCCTTATGGAACGCAAGGCCAGGAAGTCCTAGAAGAACCTGGTGCCCACAAGAGCAGCTTTCTCAGGAACCCTGGCTATGGCAGGCTCCATTCGGAAGTCCAACCTTCTGAGAGTGGGAAAACCTTGCACACTACGTGTGCATAAAGCCTTAAAGTTATCAGTTCCTAACTGATAGTGTGGGACTTCTGTCCTTCTGTATAGCCTGTGACAATTAGTGATTCCCTGAAAGTATTAAACCTGGTATTAAATAAGACAAATCTAACCGAGTTGATTTAGAGACTTAAGTGACTTGAGTAAATAAATCGGGGAAATCAGTTAACAGTCCATCTAACAAGAAGAAAGACACTGCAAGAAGTTATACAAAATGGTGAAGTGTTTTTATTTTCAGAAAGGAGGAAGATTAGGACAAGAAAGATAAGAAATATTATTTCAGGTAAAGCTACCTTATTTTAGGAGAAGCCAGGGAGATCTTTTCATACAGATTACCTCTCTGGTGCAGACTCAGAACCCCCTTGTTAGAGTGATTTTAAACTTCCACTTGAGGAAAAAGCTGAAGCTGCAATTAGTTATTAACTTCAGGTGAAGCTTGGATTAAAGGACTCTATTTTGGTGAGTGTGTGTGAATGTTTTAACATTAATTTGGAGATTCAAAATAACTATGATTTCTTTTAAAAAGGCAGGTGTTTCATTTCTCTCAATGGAGTATGATTAAAAAAAAAAAAGTAACCCTACCCGTCCCAAGAAACATTTTTTTTAATTCCTATTTATTATGTTCAAACTATTGTGTGTGCAGTACTGTGGTCTAAATAGTAAATGATACATGATAGAATCCTAGGGTCACAATGAAACTGCCAGACAGAAATTTTCACAAGTGAGCCCCATTTTATGACACCTGAAAGGAGATTCACACCGATATTTTTAATTTAGGTGTTTGTTTACAAAATAATATTGTTAATATTGCAAGAAAAGCTTACCAAGCATTCTGTTAATGTGTTGGTGTTTTTTCACATACCCATCTTCTGATGTCAAGTGTTGTTACAATCAAAACCTGAAACTGGATTTGTTATGTCAGACCTTTAGCCATTGACAATACAAAATAACATGTAAATAAATAGGGAAAGAATGGAAGACTGAAGGATAGGTAAAATAAAACTGCTGTATCAGTAGCTGTACCTACATGATAAGAGTTGGAACCATAAATAATTAAACATAGCTGAGGAATAAGTCCTCTACAAAACAATTTTGGAAGTGACTATAGACATAGAAATAAGCACTTTCTAAACTCCAGAGTCTGCATACCTGCTCCACCACCAGATCTCCTAAATATGTGCATAATATGTTCATAAAATGATTCCAAAAAGATATAGTTAAAAGTTGTAAGGATTCAACACTGAAGAATATATAGGGTCTCTTTTTATGTCATATTCTTTGAGTAAACTTTATTTACCTAATTTTTTCCTCTTAAGCTATATATTAGCCAGTTTGATCCTGATAATTTTTCTCAAATATAGTGATAATGAGAGAAAGGACTGGGAAAAATTTTATAACATTTCGATAACATCATTTTATTGGTCTGTCAAAATCAGACTAAAAAATTAATATCAGCCCTCCAATGGTAGAAACTACAATGTTACTGAAAGAACATTATGAAACTGCTTCATAGTCTTGAATTCATCAATTTCTTTACACTAACGTACCATTCTTGTGGCTTAGGTCAGCTATCATCTTACATGTGTTTTCTAATGAAGATGTAGTGAGTTCTCTAAACAGTCACAGGCTGTAAAGAATAAAATAAGAAAACAGCATTGTTTATATCTTTGTGTATATACAAAGTATTAAAAGACCTCTGGCATAAATAAATGTATACACACTTTATGGTAGAACCTTGCTACAGTTACTTCTTTGTGTTAGGTTATCATTCTTACATTTTATAAGAGTCTGTTTGTCAATATTCAATCTTGTGTCTCTAAAAATAGCACTAGTTTAAGCAAGGTAGCTTATTTTTATCCTACATGAAATAAATCCAGCAGTAAGGAGACCAGAAGCTGTATAAATTTCCTCCCTGCCATCAGTGACACAGGCTCTAGTATGTTCCTCCACTATTTATATTGCTTGCTTTCAACCCCCAGGTTACTTTGAGGCTAAAAATGGTTATTGAAGCTCTTGCCTTCATATTTGGCCCCAGGTTAGCAAAGGGAGGAAATGGGAGAGAGCAATTGCAGAAGCACCAGCTAAATCAGATACATTTTAAACAGTCATCGCAGGAGTGCCACCAAATCCTTCAGCTTAAATCACCTTATGCTGAATTTTTTTATCAGGCCACATCTGCCTCCTTGGGAGGCTGAGGAATGAAATATTGCAGGAAGGCACCAATGGAAAATTGGGTTTCTACTGATTGGAAAAAAGCAGTAAAAGGATGGTTGGGAGTCATCCCATCCTCCTGCACAGTGGCTGTTCTTGTAGAGGAGGCACAAACACCATGTCAGAGCCCCTGGTGACATCTATCTAGACTAATCTCCATGCATCTCATACATGCCTCCTCAGTTCTGACTCGATAGTTTTGTAGCCCACTAATACAAAATCCTTTCCAACTTTGACTTTTGTGAGGAAACCACATTTTAGATGCAAAAGCACTGTGCTCTCCTAAGGTGACTTTATATGATCAGTGTCATGAGTCTTTCTGCCAAGACCATGGGAAATATGCCTTCATCTTTATAAAGTTTAATATATCTGAGAAGCAAAAAAAAAAAAAAAATCCTACAAAGTCAAAACAATATCCACTCTCTTTTAAGAGATGTATTTCAATGAAACTCTCTTTCCTGTATATCAGTTTATACAGCGTGTCACTTATAGAACAGTTGCCTTTTTTAGGAGTTTGTATTTAACTCTCTGATTGCATTTCTGTTTAATTGATAGGAATGTACAAACTTACTAAAGAAATATATGGAGCTTCCTTAAAGAAAAAGAAAAAAGCAAAAAAACCTGGCCTCATTTCAGAAAAGTAAATTCTTGTAAATGGTACATATTAGCCATTGGAATAGAACAAGCCAGGCTTATTATGGTAAAGTGCCTCTCTGTAGCACTAAGAGAGGAAAAAAATAGACCCATAGATTCTTCTTGCCTTCTACTTGACCTTTTCTGTGTTAATAGATCAAGGCATCCCTTTTTTGTAGCAGTGGTAGTGGTGACCTTAGCATTAATGGAATCCACTTCTCCAGACTAAGCATGGCTACCTGGCAGTAACATTATAAGTTAATTAAAGTTTCTTTTTAAGGCTTTTCTTGCCCTCTTCCCCTTTTGGTTATCTTTTCCTCACTCAGTTCCAGAAAAGGGACTGAGCACATGGTTCACAGTGGGGGTCATGTGGGGGACTGACCCCTCCTTGAGCCAAAGTGCTAACTTTTTCCCACGTGCAGCTTGTATGTCCTAACTGTCTCCTTGCATTCCAGATCAAACTTACCTTTCCGGGGCTCCATGGCCCAGATTGCCAGAAAGTTCATTTCAATTTAAATATGTGAATCCTTCTTTTAAAGGGAAGATATTCGGAGCAACTTCAAACCAGTTAAGAGTAGGCAATAGGCCCTCCCTGGTGGCGCAGCGGGTTAAAGCACAGCATTGAGAAGCTAAAGCCACTTCCGCATGATTTCGATTCCCACCTGCCGCCTGCCCCGGAGGTGACCACATGGTGTGGCAAACCTCTCAAGACCGGCCCGCTGCTCCTGTCTGCAGTGTACTTTGTAGATCTGCCTGTTCTGCTCCCCACTCTGTCTCTGGTGAAGCCTCTGGCCACCCCTGAGCCTCTGGCCTGTACCCCAGTTCTGTATGCACAAATAAATCTTTAAAAAAAAAAAAAGAGTAGGGAATAGAGTTTTGTGATTTATTTTTAATTACCAAGGGCATTCTAGAACATGGGTAATAGGTAAAATTATCTGATTGTATTATACTTGCTTTCATATAACTATAAAACATAAATAAATGCAATAATGTAGCTATTTTAGGTGTCCCAGTAACCCTAGATTAATTTAGTAGAACTTTTACTGAAATTGCACTTCAAGTATGGAATTTGTGTTCATTTATTCCTTCATACATGTATTCAACAAATATTCATGGATTGTGTATTATGACAGCCTCAATGATAAATTGCTAACAATAAATGCGAGGCTCTAGACTCATAAAACTCTAGTATGATTACAGTGTCAATTATCAATTATGCAAAATAATCCAAGCAGAAAGATGATTCCATGTTGAGAAAAATTATTATGAAGTATAATAAGAACTATGAAAAATAAAGTGGTCAGGGAAGGTGTCTGTAAAGGCCAGATTTTAGATAAGACTGAGGAGCCACATGAGAAGACCTCAACATTTGGCCTTTCAGACTGGATTACCCACACAGGTATGGCATCTACTGGCTGATTTTGATTATATAGAGTATCTAGCATCTGGATTTTAATTATATTTTATGGAAGATGTCAGCCCAAATTCTCACGTGTAAGAGGAGATCCTTTTTCCTTAAAAGACTCTTGTTAACACAGGTTTCATGAAGCCCAAGGCATTGTTTTTCACTTTATACTCTGATCTACACAGAGCTGCACAGCTATTGGGGTGTGCTAACCATGCGTCTTTTTCTTTCCTCTTGTATCACCAGGCCTCCGGAACCAGTTTACAGCACTGTGAACAAACTGTGTGATAAGCCTGCTTCTCCCAGGCACTATTCCCCTGTTGAGTGTGACAAAAGCTTCCTTCTCTCAGCTCCCTACCCCCACTATCACCTAGGCCTGCTCCCTGACTCTGAGATGACCAGGTACTGCATGCGCTTCATCACCTCATCTTCTCCAACTGCATGTGCTTCCACAGGGTAAATGGGGAGAATCCACCTCTGCGCACTTCTCTTGTCCTGAGCATCTTCCTCATAACAGAGAGATGTTCTTCATCAGTGCAGTGGGAGAAATTAAGAATACTTCCATTTTATTTCTGATATGACCACAGAATCTTCAGACATATTTTTTCTAGAAGAATTAATTTTGAAGTTTAACTAGCACTGTTTCTTCATACAGAGGTATGAAAGACAACATTTATTGAGTACATTTTAAAATAATATTGAGTGAACATGTACTATGCTCCAGGCATAACAAAGCCAAAAAGAAAGAAAGAACTGTCACCACTTAACATTTTTAATTAAATGTGGAATTGATATCACTTTAATGACTCCTTGAAAATATTAAACAATTCACTGAGAACTATAGAATTAGGTAGTCCTATCTAGCAGCAAAAATAGTATTTTGCTGTGTTTTCTTGCTAGGTGTTTCCATATATGTTCTCTTCTCATTATATTATGTTATGTTATATTATATTATATTATATATAACTATACTATACTATACTATTACTATATATAAGAAAACAGGTTCAGTGAAGTTAAGGTAATTCACTCAACATGATATTGAGTGAATTACCTTGTGGAGACCAATTTGACCTTAGATGTTTTCAGTCTTTTGGCAATACTCTATAAATAAATTGGTCCCAGTCTAATGTAAAGGCACTATGTAATTCTGCATCAATATTCCAAAGCATACACATCATAAATAATAAAACTCTATCTTTACCTAGTAGCCAGAGTCAGAGTATGAAAAGAAGTCTGTGTATTATCAAGTAGTTCCAATCTAGTTTAAATCAAGAGATCTCAATTGCCATGTCCCTATATACATATTGGGGTGCTGAAATAGACAATCCTCATAATAGTGACAGAACTGAAAAAATAGTGTTCGAGGGTGATTCAAAGTAAAAATACCAAAAGTCTATCCTCAAAACATGTTTTTGTTTTTATATTTTCAAAGAGAAAGTTTAAAAGTCAAGTACTTTCTTCTTTGGGGAGTTAAAGAACAAATTTTTAAGTCTAAGATTTCTAGAAATAAATGAGAAATATATATGTTGGTTGTGTAATTAGCTGGGGCATTTTTACTAATTTGCAGCAGTTGAAGTCTAATAACATTTTAGAGTGCACTATAAATATTAATTAAACCTCCTGAATTTTTAACAAGTCCTTTATCTTAATTCAGTAAAGTATATACATTGAAGCTAAAATAGTAGTTACCACCTCCTTGGGAAAGGGAGCACATACACCTACAATAATGACTTTCTAGTAATCCTGTTTATATAGTTAGCTACAAAAAGACTAAAGACCACAGTCATTTTGAACTCTTCTTCTGTGCCAGGAATTTTGTGTTTTTTATGAGCTATTTCTTTTAACCCTGAAGATCACCTTTCAAAGTCACTGTTATTGTCACAAGTAAGGAAACTGATATGGAGAAGTCGCCTGTTGTGCCAAGATCACCTAGTAATAAGTGGCCAGGCTGGGATTCAAACCCAAGTGACCATTAGCACCTGCATCAATCCAGGCATGACCTTTGCTTGCTGGAAAAACTTCCCAATTCTCTTCCAATTATTTTTTCTATTCTACATTTTCATCTTTCTTCCTCTAAGTGTCAATCACTTTTTAACACTGCTTTTTGTTAATGAACATATAAACTATATTCCTTGTACCCCACTGGGGTTGTTCATGTATCCCCTGCTAAAAACTTCCCAGTGAGTAGATAGCAGTCTACCTTTTGTGTGGACTCAACCTTTAAGGGCTCTTCAGTGTGCTTCCTGAAATCTGTATTACAAATTCACAGGCTTTCTTGTTCAGTTTTCCTAAATTAAGAAGTATGATATAGTTTTGAGTATGACTTCAAATTGCATCCCCTCAGCCTTCCCCATATGCAGTAGTACCCAGCCCCCTTCCTCCATCCATTTTTTGGGGGGGAGTTCAATTTTCTTTTTATTCTAAATCTGTTCACATGCCCCTCATCACCTTCTATCATTTCTCTATATTTTATCATTCATTTCTAGAAGAAAAGCACATACACAAACACACACTTTGTGGCATCTTCAAGAGCACACTGATACTGAAATTCTTGATGTCACTCTACTGCTCCCCTTCCATATTTCCCCATGTTGGTGAAAAACAATGCATCTATCCCACTCCACAAACCAGAATTTTGAGAATTAACACTTTGTTCTCCCTTTCAGCCATCATTTAGTTCTTCAGTCTTACTGATTTTCCCTTGAAAATGTATCCCAAATCTGTTCATTCTCTTCTACTTCTGTTCCCATCACTTTACTCTGGGTCTTCATCATCTCCCACAAACAGTAGCTTTTATTAGATCTCACTATTACCTTATGGCTTATTCTCACTGCAGCCAAAGTGATCTGTTAATCATACAGATCTGATTATTTTTATTTTTGCATTAGCTATAAAATGCAAAGTCATTAACATAGCATTCACTCTGCATGAACTAGCCTATGCCTGCCTCTTAAAAGTTTCATTTTACTTTTCTTTTGCTGACTACAATATTCATATTGGCTTTCCTTTTATTCACAGTGTGAACTAAATCTCTTCATGCCTCAAGCTGTTCACATGTGCCTTTTTTTCCCCTCAAAATGATAAGTACTTCTTATACTTTGCCTGGTTAACTTCTGGTCATCTTAGATCATAACTTAAGTTGTAGTCCCTCAGAAGTTCTTTCCAAGTGAAAGGGATTCTTCTCCTTGCCTTCCCTTCACTTCCCTCCCCTTCCCTGCACTGCCTTAATTAACTTTCTCTCTCCTCCCCTCCTTTCCTCTTATTTCCTACTTTCCCTTTCTTTCCTTCCTCTCCCCTGTCCTAAACTCCCTCTCCATAAAGTTCAAAACACTTTATAATTGTACATTTATGTAATTTTCAAACTGTGAGTCTGAAACTTCATGCTGAAAGCTCAACTTATGCCATACCCCTTGCTTTTTCCACTGTGACCCTGAATAACTCATAAAATCTCAGAGGTAAATGAGAATTTAGAATCAGATAAACAAACCCTTTTGTAAACCTAGTAATGATGAGGAATCTAATTCTTTGTCTTCATGGTTCATGTCTTCTACTTAATAATAAAACATGAGATATATTTTGGGATCTTTTGCCTTTAAAAGGATATAGGTATATATCTGTCAATTGTTCAGTATTCATCAAGAATTCACAAAAGGCAAAAATAACTATGCTAGAACAACCTTTGAGGAAGGTATAAATTTAAAAAGCAAAGAAAAGAACTTGAAGAAAAATTGCTAACTTTTAACTTGCAGCCTGTGGTAAAGTATATTTTTCAAGGCATTTTAGAATTCCCCACTGACTATTCCAAAAGCAGTCACATATTAATATGTCAGTTGGTGTCTCAGTTTAAAATATCTAGCAGCGCTGTGAAACCGCATTTACGCATATACCAGCTTAATTCCTAAGCACTATTCAGATGAATGGAGACCAGTCCGCAGAAGTGAGGACACTCACTCATCTGTTCTTTGCCTTTTAATGAGAATATCCAATTTTTCATCTTTTGAACTGGTAACAAACATCTGGAGATAAATTTATTTTATACACAGTTTACTTCTATAACATCATCTAAAAGAAAACAGACTGTAAAATTTACTTAGGAAAGAAATCTAAATTACTTGGCAACATGCCAACACCGAAGGCTATAGATTAGATTTAGAGTAATTGACTTTTCAAGTTTTGCAAAAGGTAGAAATGAGCTGAATCTATAATCAAACTGAAATGTGGAACTCTATTAAAAAAAAGTTGGAATTGCTACGGGACCTCTGCTTATTTAGTAGGTTGGTTTCTTAAAAAGGAGAAAAGGTAGTTTTTGATGCTGTGATTATTTTTCTATTTTGCAAGAATAAGAGTTATTAAGTATTTTATATTCCAAGAACAAGGGGAATAATATTTTGGTCTGTTTTCTCAGCATGTGTGATGTTTTTTCATTTATCCTATTATATGGATGGCCCTCATTATTATTTTGTAGTTGATAACGAAACTTGAGCTATAAGAGATGGAGCCTAATTAAAATATGCTAGCAGATTTTGCATAGGAAATTTACCAAATGGCATTGCATAGTAATCATACATCTTTACTCAATTAAGAGTATGAATCAGTGGACTTATGCTAGATACAAGGCATTATCTTATGTGCTAGGGAATCAGGTGAGTAAGATATGACCTTCTCTTAAGCAGTTTCAAGATAGGCAGATGAAAAATTCTATACTGTCCTTGTGACTTATATCTGCTGAAGGCCCTCACTTTCTCGCGTGTAGAAATAACTAAGATAAGACCAGTATAAAACATATTATGGAAGCAACCTTGTTTCACCAATTCCTAGGCCTTTATAAGAAGCATTATTTAAGAGAACCTTAATTACCTTCTCACAGGTTCATCTGTTAATCCAGCTTCTCACTATTCTTTGCAAGGTCCTTAATAATCTATGTCAACAACTCATTCCCTTTGTAGAAATAAAGTTGGCAGCCTCAAGTCATTCTTAGTTTGGGGAAACAGAGCAAGATTTTTATTCACAAGACCTCAGCCATATGCCATAATTATAGTGGTGTCTCAAGTTTTTTGTTTTTGCAAAATAATGTTTTTTTTAAAATATGTTAATACCATCATCGTCTCAGAAACTTTACATCCAAAATCAAGTAGAGCTTCTAGACATACTAGTGCTATATTAGAAGTACATGAGAGACTCTTAAAATAAGCAAAGGAGGAATCATCGAACTCTGCCTCTAAGTTTTCAGAAACACACTGAGCTCCTCAGTTAGATGAAGAAGAATAGTACAGAGTTAATCTTCATGAAGCACTAGAAGATTTATTTACTCTATTTACTCTAGACTCTCAGGAGTTCTGTGTGGCTAAGCATTATTGGCTGAGTGTGAAAGTTGAAAATGCAGGCAACTGCAGATCAGA